ATTCTTTTTTTTTTTTAAGTTTCATTGGGACACAGCCATGCTTTTTCTTTTTTTAAATCTGGGGGCGGTGGTGGTAATTAAGTCTATTTAATTGTTTATTTAATGGAGATACTGGGGATTGAACCCAGGACCTCTACCACTTGAGCTATACCCTGCCCACCCTGAAAATCATTTGATTCTGAACGTGAAGACTTATTTCTGGACTCTCAATTCTACTTCACTGTTAAATGTCTATCCTTATCTGCACTGTCTTGATGACTGCCACTTTGTACTAAGTTGTAAAATTGTGAATTGTGAGTCCTCCAACTTTGTTCTTTTTCAAGATTGTTTTGGGAGGGTTTGGGAGTGTTAACCATCTGCATTCGTATTCTTCAGCTTCTGTTATAAATTAGCACCAAACTAGTGGCTTAAAACAACAGAATTTTGTTACCTTACAGTTCTGTAGCTCATGAATCCCATACTGATTCACCGAAATCGAGGTGTTGTCGGGTTTGTGTTCCTCCCTGGGTGCTCCAGGGGAGAATCCATGTTCTTGACTTTCCTAGCTTCTAGAACCCACCTCGCTCCTTGGCTCCCGAGCTGCTTCTCCACTTTTGCAGCTAACGGGGTGGGGTGGGGGACCCCGTCCTTCTGATGCTGTGACACTGCTCCCCAACACATCCTCTCTCCTGTAGTCACACTCCCCTCCCACAGCCATGTTGTGTAGTTCTCAGCATGCAAGGCTTGCCCTTCTTTTGTTAAATGTCTTTGTAAATGTTATTCTTTTTGATACTGTTGTAAACGGAATTGTTTTTGTAATTTCATTCTCGGGTGGTTTATTGCTACTGTACAGATATAAAACTGATTTTTTTAATCTATCCTGCAAACTTGCTGAACTCATTTATTATATCTGGTAGTATATCTTGTGAAATCCTTAGGATTTCCTACATGAAAGATCCTGTCATCTCAAAGTAGAGGTAGTTTTAAGTTTTACTTCCTGTTTTCCAATCTACATGTCTTTTACTCTTTTTTTTTGCCCAATTCCCCTGGCTACGACCTCCAGTAGAATGTTGAATAAAAGGACCAGAGTCGACCTCCTTGTCTTGTTCCTGATCTGGGGGGGAAGATCTCAGTCTTTCACTGTTATGCGTAATGTTGCGGTGTGTTTTCTGTAGATGCCTTTTATCTGGTTAAAGAAGTTCCTTTATTACTAATTTGTTGAATGTTTTTTATAATAAAAGTGTTTTGCATTTTTGTCACATGATTTTTCTACTTCTATTAAGATGGCAATATATCCTCCATGTTTTTCTCCAGACGCTTTATAGATTTAGCTTTCATGCTGAAGCCTATGAAACATCTTGAACTATTTTTTTGTATATTGAGTTACCCTGAAGTAGGAGTCAAGGTTTCCTTTTTTTTCCAGCTGTTAAGTACCAGTTTTCTTTCTCTATAGGACTGCATGGGCTCCTTTATTGAAAATCAGTTTACCCCATGAGTGTGGGTCAAAGTCTGAATTCTCTATTCTGCTCCATTAATCTGTTTGTCCCTCCAATAGAAATACTGTCGTGACTACCATGGCTTTATAGGAAGTCTTAAAATTAGATACTTAAATCCTCCAACTGTATTCCTCTTTCCTATCAGTTTGTTTGACTCTTCTAGTTCCTTTGCACTTGCATATATACATTTTAGAACCAGCTTGTCAAAAAAAAAAAAAAGAATCAGCTTGTCAATTTCTACAAAAAATACATGCTGAAAAATTTTGATTGGAATTGTATTAAATCTGTAAGTCATTTTTATTGCTTGATAGATTTTTAGATTAGTTTGGTAGCTCCATTAGCAACTAAGTAATTTGGTTAGTTTCTTTATTGAAGTTAGGCTGTAATTCATGAACTAAGCATGGCCCTGTGCAGATTCTTTCCACCTCAGTATATGATGAGAACTGTCAAGGCTAAGTCAGTCACGTGACTTGGATTGTTTAAGTGTCAGCAAATTTACACACCTGGAGATTTTTCCTCATCAATTTTTTTTTTAATGTTAGCAAAGCAGATATACAGCTGAATTTGTAAATGCGAAATCATAATAGAATTAGCTGACACTTATGAAGAGGAAAGTAAATTCCGGGCTCTGTGTTGAATTGGTCACAGGCATTTTCTTTATATTTTCAACAACACAGAGAAAGCAAGTGGTAGTATTGTTGCAGAAAAAATGTGTTACAGCTTGGTGTTACAGCTCAGTTGTGACAGCAATCTGGATCCAGGAGAGAGACCAAGCAGCACTTGGAGAGTTGGAGAACTCAGGTTTATTACGCCAGTGGGCCTAGAGGAGTTAACAGCCCAAGCTCTGGACCCTGTCTGTAGGTTTACACAGGCTTTTATAGGCTGCCAGTTTACACTTTGCAACATCATATGCAAATAAGGTATAACAAAAGTTGGCTAATTAGAAATAAGCTTTGTAGAAATGGACCAATCAGGAGGGAAAGAAATAACCAATCAGGAGTGAGGGAAATGGACCAATCAGGAGTGAGCTCAGGGAACCAATAGAATTTTAGGGGTAAGTAAGCCGTTTCAGAGGCAAAAAGTGAGATAGAGCCTCTGGGCCAGGAAACCGGATGGTGCCGGCAGGAGAGTAGTGGCCCTGCGTGGGTCCTGCCGGTCTTTTTATGGGGCTTCCCACCTCAGTATTATTCCCACTTTATGGATAAAGATGCCGAGGTTTAGAGGGCCACACAGCTATTCAGCGGTGGGTCAGAATTTTAATCTAGAGCCTGACCTCTCAAGCGCTGGCCATACAGCCTCCAACCTGTGATTGCACGGATTCCTTTCAAGGCCTTGTTCCAAAGGTAAATGGTTCAGCACCAGAACAGCTATTCCTGCCCTTGGTCCCAGGCTGAGAACAGGCTCCTGGATGGGCAGTGCGTGGTCCTCTTTCCTCCTCTATCCACAGAGGTCTTTTTGGCTATCAGTGTATTATCTATTAAATTACAATCTAATTCTCAGAATATCACCAGGTGATATCGGCCATCAAAACTTCCTTTAGTAGAGGTGATTTCCTGTATGCAAAAGTTGGGAAGTACTGTGCCACTTTTTCTCAGCGTTTCTTTCCAAAACCTGAAGTCTTTGGGCAAAATATATAGACAAACAAGCAATAAATAGGAAGTCTGAAACAACCACTGCTTCTAGAGGTTAGAGCAGCTTAGGAATTTTTAGTTTTGTACCTAATCAGCCACGGTGGCTCACAGAGGGCTGCAAGGATGTTAAATATTTGGATTTCTTTTTATGGTGTGTTTTAGTTTTGTAAGCATTTTACAGAGTGTGCATTTTTTGATGTAATAGTAGATACTAAAGATTTTTTTCCACAATTCATGTAAATTCAAGACTTCCTCCCTGCCTAAAAATAATTTCACTCCTGGCAGATAGCTGCTTTTAGTAATAGTAGGCAAATGCATTTTCCTCTTGGTATAAAAATAAAAATATTTTGTGAAAATCTTACAGAAGACTCTGATACGAGGATACAGAGCTGAGGTAAGCTTGTGCTACAAAACCCCAGTGTTCTCCTAAGTAGTTAGACATCAGAGTAAATCACCTGTCTTCAGTCTTTACAGATTCCATGTTGTTATTCACCAGAGTTGAAGGACAGTCTCAGTGGAAATGTTAACTATAACCATGTATTTGATGATATTAAGAAATTATTGATAATTATTTTTATGTGTGATATATTTGAGCACTGACATACCTTTAAGTAAGGCAAGTGTGTGCCTGTGTGTATGTGTAAGCAATTTAAAAGAAATAATATCTTACATCTTAAGGACTGGACTTTTAAATGTGACATTTTTACTCCACTTATTCTGTTCAACAGCTGAGTATCAACTCTGGCTTTCAATGGTTAGAAAGATCCTACAACCTTTGACATGCTCTGAGATCTCAACTGGGAAATCAGAGAAATTCTATCTTTGACATTAAAATAAATGCTTAGTTGAAGTTTTGTGGTTGACAAGGAGGAGAGGAGGTGAGATGTTTCAATTCTAGCTCCTAAAGAATCTATTTTTAAAAATAGGTATTTGACTTGAACTGACTTCTGACACAGATCATTCAACCTCATAGACGTTCTCTTGGGTAAGAGCCTGGCCTAGGCAAACCCACTTGTAAACTGTGGGAGGAGTTGAGTGTAAGTATTTGGAACAAAAGGACTCCTTTTATTTTTTCCGCTTAAAAAAAACCTTCCTGGGGTTGATTTCCGTAAGTACATTTCCTGTTCGTAATCCTAGTCATCAGCCACCAAGTGGTGTTTAAGGAGCACCTGCATGGATCATAGATTCTACAATTCAACCTGAGAACTCTAATTTTGGGTTGCCTCTTCCTTTGATAAGTAGGAGGGTCTGGTCCTGACTCATCTGGCGTCTCTGTTTTTGGCAGAATTTGGATCAGGGCGCAGGATTTCACATTGTTGCAAAGGATTTCTCTAACTCCTCTTTGCCTTTTCTCGAATCTAGGCTCTCTTCACCTCTGCAATCTAGACATTTGGGGATGAATATTTCTTTTATCGCAGGGGAGGGCTGGCTGTCCTGTGCGTGGCAGGATGTTTAGCAGCGCCTCTGGCTCCTGCCCACTTGATGCCAGTGACATTCCCACCCCAGCTGTGACAACCAAACGTGTCCCCAGATACTGCCAGACATCCCCTTGCAGGGATCGTGGGTGGGAGTGGGAAGGAGCAAGCAGTCCCCTACTGAGAGCCACTGCTGTCTAATCCCTGAGGACCCCAAGACCGAGAATCCTACCAGGAATTACCTGGCCACCACTTGCCATGGTTCTCAAGGAGACCTTAGACCCATGTAGTTTTAACAAGGCAGTGTTCTCAATGCTGGTTGACTATTAGAATCACCTGAGACATTTACCAATGCCCAACTGAGCATAGTATTTTTTTAAAAAATGCTTCCCAGGGCCTGTTAAATTGTAGATAGGACAAACGACCTCTGAATCAAGTGTACTTAGCAGTCTTGATATTTATAAAAACACCAAAAAAATAAATCCACCCCAAATTTATTTCAAATAGGAAATACTAAGTAGTTTCAGAGCAAGAAAAAATAATTCCATTTGTCAGTAGATTAGAGAACACAGGCCCCAGGGGACATGTCACATTTGCTTTTTGTTGTTCTGTTATCATCACAAAGTAGTTGAGAAACTGGATACCTCTGGGCATTGTGAGCTTTGTAGCAGTTTGACTGAAGGCGCCTCTACTTGATGTAGAGCAATTTCTCTGGTGCTTGTAAATCACAGACTCTTTTGACTAAAGTGGCAGGGAGGAGCCTGACCAAGAGGAAATTCCTGGAATGTGAAATGTTTGGGATTGATAGGGAAGGAAGATCAAGACTTAGCAAGGCTAAGGGTGGGCTAGGAAGGGAAGCCTTCTGATAATGTTCTTCAGCAGATAAAAAATATGACCCAGTGGCTTCCTCTTTCCTTTGTTAGTGTTTCAGCAACAGTGGTAAAATAAGGAAGTTCTTGATAATTTAGGATCCGGATGGATGATGCCCAGAAGGCGTACATGTTCTGGCAGCTGCCAGTCCCACTTCTGGCCAGCCAGGAGGGGCTGGCCAAGGTTCTCATCCAGCTACTGATCTTCCAAAAGGTACAGGATGCATTGGATGATGTTCAATTTTCCATGTGATATTAGGCAACTCAGTTAACTTCCCTGGGATTTTGTTTCCTTATCTGAAAGATGTATTTACCCTAGACAATCACTATGACAATTAAATTAGATAATGTGCTATGTGAAACGTAAAGCTCTACAGGTAGCCAGCTGTAAACCCAGAACCAAGCACGCTATTACATGACCTCGTTAAGTTCGTGTTTCTCTGGTTTGTCCTCTGGTTCTGCCTCCAAGTCTGTGTTAGGGTCTGGCTGGTGGATTTCAATGAAAACAACGTAGATGAGGCCTCCAATGGCAGCTCCAACAAAAGGGCCCACCACGGGAATCCACCAGAAGTTGTTCCCAGCTCTGAAAGCAAACAAAGAAATTAGTGATACACCACTTGGCCTTCCTCTTGATATTAATGCTAGTTATTCAACTAACCAGCTAGTCTATCAGCAAGAGCTAGGACCTGTGCAGCACATGGAGCTATATTCAATATCTTGTAGTCGCTTACAATGGAAAAGAATCTGAAAAAGAATATATGTAAATGTATAATTGAATCACTTTGCTATACACCTGAAACTAATACAACATTGTAAGTTAACTATACTTCAACTTTAAAAAGTCAGTAATAGTATAAGGGCTCTCACTGTAGCTTGGCAACCATCATCCTAGATTTTCCATTATACCTGATTTCAGATGATCTGTTCCATTGCCTATTAGTACCTGTGAGAGAAATGTACCACTTATTTCCCTTTAAGAAAACATAGTCCCTGGACCTATGGTCAAAACTGAGGGCACCCAGAGAAGATTCAGGTTGATTATTCAGGAATGGCCTTTCCCTCACCCTGAAATAATGAGTCCTGGGGATTATGGATTAAAGGGAGATGTGGAGAGATTCCTGGACATCAGTGGTATATGGGGGCAATTACAAATTAATCAGAAAACATTTGCCAATGAGTGAATGAACTTAAATCAAAAGTGGCTATCTGAATTACCTACTAAACATAATTTAATTCACTACTTATACTTTGAGGTCACAGCTTACTTAAGCTTACTCTCTGATAAGGACTTTCATTCAGTGATTCCCTCTCCCCTCCAGAAATCCTCAGTGTCAGTACACTGTATTGGAGGTACAGTTCTGGGCGGAAGCAGGTGCCCCTGTGAATTGTCACCATCTTTTTTGGAGACAGAAAATCCATTGAAGTAACTCCATAGGAAGGACCATGAGTGCTCAGAAGCAAGTTAAACTATATAATGTATTATTTAAGGGTATGTACATTTGAGATACAAACTTTTCAAAAGTGGGGGAACAATGAACAAAAAAATTCAGGATAATGCGGAGGAGACAGGAAAGAGGAGCACATGGCTCCCCAGCTACGGTGCTCTGTTGGGGGAAGGATCTGCGCTACTTATTTTCTTGTTACGCTTGCTAACTATACACATGTTCCATGGACCTTTTGTTTACATACAATTTTGATTAGAGCGTATAATAAAGGAAATAAGCACAAAACAAGGGGCTGTCCTAGAATTCATGAGACCTAGTTTTAATTTCAGGACGGTCCAGAAGGTCTTTGGGCAAGTCTCCCCACCTCTGAGCTTCATTCTTCCACTAAAAGGTGGTCCCTTCCACTCGGATCATCCGAGTACTCTCTTAGATCATAAATCTTGGATCATCAATGCGGACTCACAGTAAGGTTATAAATCTTAGACCATAAATGCAGGCTCCAGGGGAGAGCACTGAGATTGAGCACAGCGGCCACCAGATGTCACTCTTACTGCATGGGAGAGAACGCTGCGCTCAGCGGTTCTCACAGCGCCCTTTCCCACGCCTCCAAATCCAGGTGGAATTTTCTGAGAGGCACCTGGGCTTTAAAGAACTAGGTGCCTACTCTTCAAGTAAGCACATGAAGCAAGTGTAAGCCAACTTACGTGGTCCTTCCTTTCTTCCATCACTAGTTGAAACAAATCTCTCACTGTCCTTTAACAGATTAGGGTTCAAGATGCCTGCCAGCACACATGTCCTTTCACTGGCTGGACCCTCTACCTTCCAACAGAGTTGAATATACTGTGCCAGGGTCATAAGTCTTAAGTGGAGGAGCTCAGATGTGGTTCCCTGCCTGTCCCAGTCTCAAAGGTAAACGAGGTCATTTGCATGCTATGATTTGGGGAGGGGGGGTGCCAGGAAAATGTCTGTGTTAATTGCTTAAGGTACCATCACCAGGGATTAATTCTTTTGGTTAAACTATTTAAAAAATCAACAGTACCCCTGAGATGCTTCATCCATTAAGTTATTAACACTTCAATGTAAATTAGTGAAGACAACTTGCTTAGGAAACATCCTAATACTTAAGAGAAAAGCAAGAGTCAGCCAGGGTCTGTCTGGCCCTTGTCAGGCCCTCTGGGGCCCAGCTTCCCATGTCATCCTCACTGCATGCCAAACAGGGACAAGTGAGGGTCCAAGAACAAGGCAGTCTGGATTTTATCTGAGACCTCAGGTGTGGATCCAAACCAAGATATCTCCTGGGATGCTTACCTCGGATGTAGGACCCTGAAAGGACGTGACACTCTAGGGACACTCTGGAGTCCTATTATCCCTCAAAAGTTTTTATAGGAACTTTCTGGTTGAGGACTGTCAGCCAGCCTAGTTCTTTCCTAACTGATTTCTACCCACTCTGCTTCTTTTAATCCATTTTATATAATGACGTCAAATTAATTTTCCTAAATCAAAGTTCTAAACATGTCAGTCTTCTGGCTAAATCCTTTGCTGCTCCCCATAAACTAAGAAAAGGCAGTAGGAAAACCCCAAAATTCTCCTTTTAGGAGTCTAGGTGCTCTGTGATCTGAAACAATTGCCCTTCCAACCTTCTTCATGCACCCTTCCAGCCAGTTCGTGTGTTACTTTAACATTTTGTCTTTGGATATAAAGTCCTCTCTGCCTGAAATATCCTCTCTGCCCCCATTTAAGCACATCCAAATACTACAAAATGCCTCCGCTTTCACCCCCTTATTCCTAAATTTGGAGCTGCAAACCTTCTCTCAAATCCTGGAGTTCATTAGTCATGTCTCTTTAATGGCACATGACAGCTTCTACTTGTGTCAGAGCCTGAGCTCACTCCTCAGAAACAGAACATTAAATAAAGCATGATGGGCAGCGACAGTGAGGGCCTCTTTAGCACAGGGCCTTGGACCAGAGATCAGGTAGCTGCATGGATGAATGAAGATGCTAACAAGGGACGTGATGCTGAGTCTGGCATTACATGATGTCATCATTCTCCCACAGACCTGGTCTCCTACCGTAAACTCAGCAAAACAAAAAGAGAATAGGCAAGATCTCTACCTGTTTCAGAACCACCATCACTCCTAAAGCTTTGGGTGAATCACCAAGCAGGGCTCAAAGCGAGGGCAGGTCACTGTGGGGCAGCTTTGTTCTAGGGGTCTGTGTGAAGCCCACAGAGGTGACTTGGTGGCTGGGGCAGTGGTCTCCTGGAGTGAACCTCAGGAAGTTGGGATTAAAGGAGATTCATGGGCTAAGTCTGAGCTTTAGAAATAAGAAGGTCTTTAACATATGTTTTTGATGCTTTCTGGAAGAACACAAAGGATCCTTCCTTTTGGGGACATTCTGTTCAACCTTTTCATGTTCCAGTAGTGATCATTCTGGAGCAGAGCTTCTGAGCTGTGGCACTCTTAACGTTTTGGCCTGAATAATTCTCTGCTTGGGGAATCTGTCCTGGGTTCTGTAAGATGCTTAGCAGTATCCCTGTACTGGCCTCTCCCCACAAGATGCTGGCGACAACTTCTGCCCCCACCCTCCCCTGGGTGACAACCCAAAGTGTAACCAGGCATTGCCGAATGCACCTGTGGGCAAAATCACCTCTGGCTAAGAACCACTGCTATAGAAAATTCATTGTATTTTGCTTGATTCTCTTTGTATCCATGATCTCCTAGGACATGTGTGGCACATAGCATTTACCCATTCTTTTGTTCAATAGCTTTCATTGAGAGCTTTCTGTGTGCCAAGCCCTGTCCTAGCCACTGCGGACACAGCAGTGAAGCACCGTCCAGGCCCCTGTGTCGCGACGCTCATGTTCCAGCAGCTGTAGCGCCATCTGTGCTGGTGATCAGAATGGTGTCAGTGATTTCAGTAACTCGTGTTTCGTGCTGGTGAAGGCAACCCAAGCTCTCACTTAAATAAACTCATCCCGTGAGTGCGACTATATATGCAGGTCAGCATTAGGGATGCTCCAGCGTTTTGTTCTCACAGCAAACATTAAACTAAAATTAGCTCACATGTATATTCACTACTTCTCTTTCTCCATGTTAGAGCCCTGTTTCCTGGGGAACCACGAGGAGTCCCTTTCCCACAGAGAGATGTGATTAGTGGATGGGGACCGGCCAGCATGACTTTATGGGGAGAAAGTGGGAAGGAATTGCTGGGGAAAGTTTGTCCTGGGAGCTTGGTACCAGCAGTTGGCCTATTTCCTCAGCACATTCTGAGGTAGCAAGCCCACAGTCTTGCCATTTCCTGTGCATAGGCAGGCTCTCTTTTATGTCTTTCTGCCAGGACTTTTTAAACTTCAAGAACCAGCTCGGCACTCAGTTCTTCAGTGGTGCCTTCCTTAACTGATGCAGGCAAAGCTGGTCACTCCCTCGTCTGTGTTCCCTCAGCACTGTGTTTCAGGGGTTGCTGAAACACTTGTTACCTTGTTCAGGGCCAGCATCTTAGCTGAATTTGAAATTTCCTTGCCTAGCACAGTGGCCACAGCATAGATAGCACTCAAGGAGGACCTGCTGAGGGGATGAATGAAGCAAAGCTAGCATGGTTCATTAGGAAGGGCCCTGGAGTGGTACCAGAGGATGTCAGTTCTGCCCCTAACTTTGTCACAAAGTGAATATCAGACATGCCATACAACTAAAATACTCACATAAACCCATGTACCAATGGAGAATTTATTATTACATAGGACAAATCTGTGTCTTTTGAATTTTTTGAGAGACTCTCTGTCTTTCTCTGTCTCTTTGTCTCTCTCTGTCTCTCTTTGCCTCTGTCTCTGTCTCTGACTGTCTCTCTGTGCCTGTCTCTTTGTCCCCCTCCCCTTCTCTCTCTCTCTTCCACACACACACACACCCTGTATCACCAATGAAATACTCCACACTTACGATGAGAATGCATTTAACCTCCACCCTCCCATCTGTCCTCCCTTGGACCCCCAGGTCGAAGCACAGCTTCCCCCAGTGAGGCACAGCATGAATCGTTCTCCTTTCTCCTTGACCATTGTTACTTACGTGAAGACCTCAAACCCCCATCCTGCCAAAGCAGTGAAAAGCCTGGGACCCAGGTCTCGAGCCGGGTTCATGGCGTTGCCACTGTTCATCCCCAGAGAGGAAGCAAGGACAGCAATTAGGAGGCCAACAGCAATGGGCTCTAGACCTCTGGGGACTCCCAAGTTTCTCGAGTCAAAAATGGCAAAGACACCAATGATGAGGAACATGGTGGATGCTACCTGGGGAGGGAGAAAATGCACAAGGGGTTTAGCTTAGCTTGCTCCCACTTGCCCACCTCAAAACTCATCCCCTCTTGTTAAAAACAGACATAGGAATAAGTAACCTGCACGGGTGAGCACTCTGTGCCAGACACTTCTTGTCACAGCTGTGCTAGACGTGAGTGCTAATATCATTCTCCGCCACAGATTAGTTACCTGCCCAAGGGGGCACTGCCAGTGGCAGTCGCGTGTGGATCCAGAGAGTTCACTCAGGAGACTGCTGTCTTTACTGCAATCTCCTGCTAAGCTACTACCCAGCCAAACAGAAAGCAAGCTGCTGGCTGGAAAAATGAACCAAGGGCCTCCCTCAAACTGGTGAGAAAAATAATGTGAGGCATCAATAGGTAAATGGGCAAAGGAAATGAAAAAAAATTCATGAAAGAAAAATAGACTTAAGAAACAAGTAAGTGGGCAAAACTGATTTCTAATGAAAAATAAAATGCAACTAATATCAAATGTTAGGGAAATGATGCCAGTTCTTTCAGGCTTCCCTAGTTGAACTAAACTCATACTACACTTTGTAAAGGCAATTCAACAGTAACTTAGCAACATGCATTAAAAAAATTATTATTTACTTAATTTGACCCAGTTGGATATGTGAGAACCATACCATGGAAATAATCTAAAATATGGGGAAAAATCTTAAAACAAATATGCAAATAAATAATGAAGCATTATTTATAGTACTGGAAAACTGGAGTCCACATCCACAGGGAAAAGACTAACTATATTACAGGGTGCCCATTCTGTGGTCAATTATATAGCCATTAAAAACAGTAAATATAAAAATAATATGGCAGCAACATTTAAAAATTCGTATGATATTCAGTTAAAAATTATATGTGCGTTACATTTTATATTTGAAAACACACATAAAATGCAAGTTGTAAGAGATCTTACAAACAATAACAGCGGTGTTCTGAAGTGGTGCAGTGTAGCAGGTGTTTTCCCCACTCTCTGTTTTCTAAAATTTCCAAGTGATCATTTAACTTGAACAGCTAAATGACAGCTACTATTGTCCAAGTGCTTATTATGTGCCAGGGACGTCACATACTTTCTCTCGTTAGAACTTCACTAGAATCCATGAGATAAATTCTATTTATTGCCAGTTTACAGACAAGGAAATGTGGATAGCGGTTAAGAAACTTGACCAAGGGCACACAGCTCATAAGCAGAAGAATCAGGATAAGAATCAGGCAACTGATTTTAGACCAGAAGAGTTGCGCGGTTGGCTACACCACAGGTGCTTGGATGCAGCTTGTTTAAATGTCAGTAAGGCAGAGACACTTCTAGCTGCCTGGAGAGTCTGGATAAAACTGTGCGCGTGGGGAGACACAGACAACCCGTGATACTCTCTCAACTACCACACTTCACAGTCCTTGAACTAAGATCAAAATGTCTTTTCTTGAGGCATCCATGTTTTAGATCACGTGCACAAAAGAGACAGTTAGAGTGAAGCAAACCCTAATGCCCCTGCAGGGGTTGAAATGTCCAGTCATCCACTTCTCTCTGAACCTCAACTGATGTTAAACGGTGTATATATTAAAGAGGAGGCAGGAGACTTAGTGGTGTCAACATTGGCAAGGGCAAGAATTGGTCAACAAAGCTTGGCTTACGCTTAGGGACCTCTGACTTTGGAAACATAGCCTTTCTTTTCTGATAGGCCTATGATGTTCATACACATCCCCCTTATTAGATTATGTCTTTTCACCAAAGCTAAGTCTTTGTTGAATGTGCACTTACTTGTTCTGCGAATGCATTTGCCAGAGACAGATATGGAGCTGGGTATGTTGCAAAAATGTGAGCTGTTGCATTTTCTCCCACGATGAGCAGTTTTCCACCAGCAAAAGACATAAATGCATCTACGGAAGACAGAGCCCTGGCACATTAGTGTCCTCTGGGCAGGGGTGAGGGAGGCCTCGGCCAGGTCCCGTGATGAACAACTGCAGGCAGACATGCAGGTTCCGCTTGGCAGATCCACATCGTTTGCCTCTCTTCACTTCACAGTATGGTTGTTTTAGGGACACCCAGAGAAATCCCAGGATGGCGGGTCAGGGAAAGAAAGCCCCGACTACCCTCGATGGTTCACTCCAAACTCCAGCCAAATCCCCACTCAGTGGATCCCGGGATCCAGTTTTCTCTGGGGGAAATTCTTGGAATTTTCAAGATTGACCTGAAGCCAAAGTGAAGCTTGGACCTACTCTAGGCAGAATTCATGATGCCCAGTGGGGTCTCCGTAACTCCTAATGATAGTCCAGAATTTGAGGGTGTCAGGTACAGTAAAGATGCCCTTGGAGCAAGGGACAGAGCAGTCCCTGGCACTGCCAGCGCCGCTCCCAGGCCTCTCCTGCCACAGCAGCCAGCTCTCTGGCTTCTGGTCTGGTCTTGAATTCCTATTTAGTCTTTCTACACTCTTGTTTCTTAGAACATGCTATGGGAAGAGGTCCCTTTCCACAATGTATCTCTTAGGCTTGGCTCATAAAGTCTAGTTCCTGAGAGCTTCAGTGTGAGAGACATACAATATTGAAACTTGCCTTGGGTTGGAGAGAAGGAACTACTTTACAGTTGATTTTATGGACCCCCAAGATTTTTTAGTGTGAAGGGCCTCAGAAGTCATCTAGTTCAATTCTTTCATTTTCCAGAGGAGGAAACTGAGACCAGTAAGGTCAGACGACATGCACAGCTACATACTCGGTTCACCTGGAACTAAAGTCTGGGTCTTCGATGATCAGTACTGTGGTTCCCCCAGGGCTGTTGCAGAAAGGAAGCCCTGGCTATTGGACAGGAGAGAGATGTTCCCTACCCAGCCCATTTCTCTCTGTACTCCCTCCCTTCAAAGACTTTGTTCCAGGTTCCCTCTCTAAATACTTACTCATCAGACCCTTTCCCGCCAGTCAATGGCTCCTCTCCCAGCCAAATCAGGGAAAGCCCCGGAGAAGCCACTGGCCTGTTGCTTATTCCAGCATTGCTCACTGTAGTGCTGGTTGGGTCTAAAGATAGACTTCCTTTAAGTTCTGCTCTGCATTTAAGTCGTGACCATTTTCGTTAAGGGGCTTCATGAATTTGCCCTAATGATAATGTTGGCCCTGTTATTTAAAACTGAAGACTCTTAGAACTGCCTTTAAAGTGTAGAACGCTTCTTGTTCCTGGCTTATCTCATCTCTTCCAACCAAGTAATCCTGATTTTCAACTTAACGCCCAGCTCTCCCTAATATCTGGACTCAGGGGCTCTACTCACCATAGTAAATGCCAAAGAGGACTGCGGACCCTACAAAGGCTCCTAAGAGCTGGGCGCCCACATAAAAAGGGAATTTGACCCACTTCATCCGTCCAAAAAGACACATTGCGAAAGACACGGCTGGGTTGACGTGTCCACCTGCAAGGAAGAGAAGGTGATTAGGAAAGTCAGAGGGCAGGCCAGAGAGAATTATTGTGAGGAAAACCTTGTCTGGAGACCTCAGGCAGAACTCAATCTTCTAAACAGGGGACTGTATGTTAGGAGACAGGTGTGTGTGTGTGTGTGTGTGTTGTTGTGTGTGTGTGTTGAGTGGAGAGGAAGGGGATCTTACCACCCTCATGGCATCATTAGACATTGTTTAGGAAGTTCAGCTTTCTGAAAAGGAAGTCAAATATAGAAAGAAACTTGTACTCAAGTGGTTCATGTTCTTTCTATTTTTCTTTCTTGCTATCTATCTTTCTATCTGTCTACCTACCTACCATCCATCCATCCATCTACTGGGTTATGCCTATCTATAAAGCAATAACCCCAAAGAGACTGATGTAAACTGTTAACTTCAATATATTTTTAAGGGAATATACTTACACATCTAGTAATTTCTGAGTCCACATCCAGAGGTCACAGAAACAATGTCAGAACTAAAAAGAGATGTCTCTTTAAGGGGAAATGGCCCTTCCTCCACGATCTGTGCCTCTCACTGAGGTAAGGGGCTCAGTTTACTTTGGGGTGGTCACAGCGTCTGGGTGGATTCTCTGCAGTCCCTCTGGGTAAAGGATGTGTATTTCACACACAGAAATGGAGCAGCATTCCATTCACTCCAACCTCAGCTCTGACTTGAGATGTCAGCCTCCTTGATTCTCATCTCTCTGCAAGACCAGAGAGAGGGCTTGCTCTGGAGTGGGTCACTGATATCCCCAGCTGGCTTCACTGGTAGCAACAACAACACTTACTGAACACTTGTGACATGCTGTCACAGGGGTATGACATGTACTTGGTCCCCCTAAGAACCCAGTGAGACAGGTACTACTCTAGCTAATCAGTGAGGAAACTGAGGCACAGAAATAATGTCTTAAGGCCACATGGCTAATGAGTGTTAGGTCTAGGATTCAAATCCAGGTTTTTTTGAACTCTAGGGCCTGTGTTCTAGGTTATACCTCTTTCAGTTTATAAAAGTTTCTCTGCCTTAGAGGGCCAGAAAATAAAAAGAATTTCAAAAATCATCTCTGAGCACATGGGCTTGCTTTCTAGGTGCAAAGCGTACTTACTTATGTGAAGAGTATGGACCACGTCTTGCGGGGAAGGCATGAGTGTCACTGGCAATGTGGCCACACTGAAATGTGGGCCTGTGGCTTGTGGAAACAGTGTGAACAAAGGAGTGATGGTGATGGTGATGGTGATACTTAGCCATTTGAACCCCCCTTCCACTGCTTTTGGAAGCCTCCACCTTCAGCCTCCGCCGTGAAGAAAGCCATGCTTTTCCTGAGTCTCTAAGCCAATGTGGGAGGGGTTCTGGCTGCTGGCTAAACCATGAGGGTCCTTTCTTCACCAGTCTCTGCCACTGGGGGGCTAATATAAACAAGAAAATGCCAATATATCAAAGCATAGATGACTTCCTAAAGCTTTACAGACGTGTCAACTGTTTTGTCTTACTTTTACATCCAAGAGGGTCACAGTTCTGGAGACTGACAGGAGTACACCTTACTAGGAAAGCTGGAAACAGGGGTTAAGAGAGGGGAGCGCAAGGGCAGTGGGAAGTTCCTGAAGCCAGCCCTGTTCCTCTTCTCCCAGAGGCTGGCTGGAGGGTAGCTGCCACCCAGCCAGCCTGGAGGGACCCATTGTGAAAAGACAAGGGGACATAAGAAATCAACTCCAGTCAAAAATACCTCCTCAGATGAGCCCACCAATGGGGGGTTTATGGTTTAACACGCTCTTCTTCCAAAATAAAACTTGCCGTAGGTAGGCTTATGCTTTTAGCCTCTCAAAAGCACCCAGAGACAGGAGCTGTTTGTTACTCACCTTGACCTTCACATGCTGCAAGGCACTTAGTAGGTATTCAAGATATGAAAGTTGGGGAAGTAAATAGAGTCCTTTATTCAGATAGCTCAGACTGCAAAGATCTACAGAAGGAAAGTTGTTTGGGGGTCAGAGAGGGTGTGTCTGGGAGGGTGCTCCGCGAAGCAATGAGGGAAGTTTCTCCTTGCAGAGGTGAGTGATCACTCAGCTTACCCAAAGGACAGAGCAGAGCAGTGTAGTGGAAAGAACATGGGTGCTCGAGTCAGAGAGGGCCACTCTCAAATCTTGGCCCTGCCAAGGTTGTGATGATCAGATTATTCCCATGAAGAGCCCAGAGGGTGTAGACGGAGCCCACGAGGGCTGAGATGAAAGTCTTCCGTGAGCAGGCCGGACTCTTCCAAGGTTCTGTCTTAGATGGGTCCCCCTCCTCCCCACCACCCACAGATAAATCTGATAGAGATAATATTTCATTTGTTATTAAGCAAACTTTTTTTGCTTTATTCAAAGAATTTTTACTGCTTATAAAATGCTATATCAAAAACAACCACCATAGTGTAGGGACAAGTAAGCAATGTAAACACTTGGCGGGGGACGGTGCGTAATTAGAGCGTTATGAGTTCTGATTGGCCAGATTGGATTGCCAGACTACTGGCATATTCTCAAGGGAGCAGGGTGCGGTAACTGCCTTGCAGTAAGGTGATGTTTTATATTCCAAAACCAGATGTCAGCTGATTTTACCAGTCTGGACCACAAAGTGGGATCCCATTTATGTTTATGCCCAGTATGCATTGGTTATTTTTGGAATTCTCAAAGAGGGCCTCACACGTGCCCACAAACCAGTGTGTTAGCTGCAGCCACCTTAAGAAAGTCCCCTCCCACCATGTAGTCTTCCTCTCCTATTTCTGAGGCTGCTGAAGCCAATACTGAGTCTGCGTGGATGTCATTGGTGGGCCAGTGTGTTGTCTGTGCATGTCCCCCCCAGTTCTCAGGGAGCCCGGATATAACTAATAGAGATGGGGATTAATCCTCCTTTCCAACTCAATGCTGCCTTTTATCAGCCAAGCTCAGATACTGCTCTACCTGTACTTTGAGATCTCACAGTCTCTCGTAAACAGTTTGGACAGCTCCAGAGCTGCGCCTGGAAACAACCTCTAGTGAAAACGGTCCCGTCAGTTCTAGCCCGCACCCCTCTGAGCACAGGGGCTTAACCCCAGGCTAAAGGCCAGATGGGAAGACTCCACACCATCCGTCACTCCCTCTCCTCCTTCCTGCTGGCCCCAGCCCCTTTTCCTCCTGTGGCAACTCCAAATATACCAGTGGATGCAAACAGACACGAAGGGTGTTAGCTATGTTGGTAGAGTCTGGGACCAATTTACCCTAAGTAAATATTTGATGACATTCAATTCAGGGTTTTATGCAGGTGAAATACTGCAAAACCACATCTCCACCTAAAAAAAAAATAGCTGAGAATATCCCTACGTTTATATTGCATGGTTTGTGGAAACCACACTTGTGTGGATGCAGTTGGGAGCGTGTAGGGGGAGACATTGGGGCATCCCACCTGCTTATTCGAAGCCAGGAGTGTGTTTCGTGTCTGGTGTCAAGGCCTGCACTGTAATTACAGCCTTGGCACGTTCAGGGTGGTCCCTTGGTTATTCCTGTGCCTTAGGTAGGCAGTACAGTGCTGGGTTCACAGCAAAGGTTCGGCAAGAGTTTGAACAGAAACACTGCTCATGCCAAAAAAACTGCACGTACAGGACTCTGTAAGCCAGACTACCAGGATCTGAGTCTGCCTGTGAAATGGAAAGGCTGCCAGCCAGCAGATGACTGTTCCCCTGCCCAGACCACAGAGGCTCTGAGCACTAAACAGTGCTCCAAAGGGAGTATTTGTCTCCAGGCCTGGCAGCTCAACTGCAGGATTCTCCAGCTGGACCGCTCTGCCCAAAGGCCCTGCCTGCCCTGTCCTTCCCATGATAGACCATCGTGGGATAACAGAGACCTGTGCTTCGCTGTCATGTAGACCTGGGTCAGGTCTTTAATCTGCCTCTTTACCAGCTCTAGGAGTTCCAGCAATTTACTCAATCCCTTGGAGCTCAAGTTTTCTCTGTAGAGTGGACAATAATGCCTGCCTCCTCAGCCTGCAGCTGGAGAGGAGAGAGGAGATAAAGCCTGTACGGCACCCAGCACAGAGCCCAGCATGCAGGGGTTACCTTTCTTCCCTTATCACCAGCAGTCTTGCCTTAGTGTTCTGAGCCCCCTGACAAGGCTGCTGAAGATTCTACAAGCCTTTGGGAACTGGATCATTTCCACAGTCCCTTCCTAGGTTCCCAGGCCGAATTAAACGTCGTATCATTTTGCTTTTCAGAACCTTGAGAATGGCTCCTAATTAGCCCACCCCTCAGGGCAGGATTGGACCAAGCCCTTCGGGACTAGGTCTGCACCTCCATGAAAGCACCAGCCGTTTTGCAAGTGACCTAGACTCTCTCTCTCATTGCTGCAGAGAAAGGTCTGGGGACTTGCCTCTGTTGTAGTGATCTACACTGGGCTGTTCAGCGTGGGGCAGAGCTAGTAAAAGATTGTATTGACAGAGGAATTGTAGGATTCAGTGGCCAGATTTAGGAAGCAGTCAGTTCTAAATGCTAACGCCCATCTCCGTCTCTTGCTAAATGTTGCCTTTGCTCAAGTCACCATTTGCTGGCTATTTAAATTTTGTTGTCTATGAAAAATAGAATCAAATACATATTCTTGCAGGACTGTTGGGATCTAAAAACTAATTAAGGTATGTAAAGCACCCAGAACTGTGCCAGCACGTTGGAATGGCTGAGCTAACAGCAGCTAGTATTAGTTTTACTACTTACCGGAGACACCTCCAGTCACATAAATGGCCATCCCAACTGCCATTGGAAATCCAATAATGATAGTGACGATTCCTCCAAAATGTCCTCGACTGAGGACAGCCTGGGCAACAGAGCCACATCCAAGGACCTGGGATGAGAGGAAACTTGGCAAGTGAGTGCAGACGGCCACAACCAAAGACAGCGAAAAGTCAGAGTAACAAGAAGTATATTTCAAGCAAACTCATGTATTGGGCTGGCACAGGCATCACACAAATCAAATTATAACCCTCTAGCTACGCACAGATAGCAAAGTGGTGGTCCTAGGGCTTGCCTGGCTTACCGATGAGTTTCGTTAGGCCTGCACAGTGTTGGAATTTTGAACGGGTAATTTCACACAATGATCCAGACCTCTGGCTTTTATTTTAATTTTTTTTTAAATTTGAGATAATTGTAAATTTACGTGCAGTTGTAAGAAATATCACAGGAAGATCCCACGTACCTTTTGCCTATTGGTTCCTTTCAGTCAATTAGAAAATTCAGCAACGCATAGGAAAATAATTTCCTGGGACAGAGTGGCCATAGGTTGCTCCCTTTAAACAGAGTTTGAGTCCTCCTGGCTGGCTCACTTCACTTGCGCGTTAAAGTCTTCTTCCTGGCCCCTGCAGGCATTTGAGTTTGCAGTTGCTGCTCTAAGGGCTCTCAGTATAAGCCAGATCCGGCTCAGAACAATTGTATGCACACCCAGAAAGTGGGAGGGCCATTTTTACCATGTAAAAGGCCAGTAGAGGCTAAAATGCCAGAAAGCAAAAGACTACAGGGGGACAGAAGCGGCAAGCAATCCTCGTCCCCAGGTCTCTTCTCCCTGACGAGGCTGTATTTTCCCTAGGGCAGAGGCTGCCAAACCCACCGCTTCTTGCGTTCCCTGTGGCACCAGGCACAAGCCTGCAGGCACTCCACAAACCTTTGCACAAGGAAGGCGAAGTATCATCGTGAGCCTCCGAAAGTCTCCAGCTGATGGAGGCTCTTTTGGAGAATGCAATCAGCATTCAGAAATGTTTGGAATAAACGTAATATGGTGCATCTACCAGCAGAATGCTATGCAGTCATAAAATAGAATGAGGGAGATCTGTGTGTCCCAAAGTGAAAAGACCCCCAGGGTTTATTATTAAATTTAAAAGCGATGCAGATCAATTTTAAAGCAGACTGCCAATTGTATTAAAGACACACTATAGGTATTTCTTTTTATACGCATGGGATATCTCCATGAAATAGGATTGGACACCGCGTGAGGAAAGTAGGTGGCTGGGACAGGTAATGAGAAAGAACTTTTCATTATATATCCTTTTCTCTTTACCAACTGTCTTAGTCCATTTGGGCTGCTATACCGAAATACCACAGACTAGGTGGCTTATAAACAACAGAAATTTATTTTCCACAGTTTTGGAGGCTGGAAGTCCAAGATCAGGGCCAGCATGGTCAGGTGAGGGTCCTCTTCCGGGCTGTAGACTTCTCTCTGTGCTCTCACACAGTGGAAGGGCTGAGCTAGCTCTCTGGGACGTCTTTCATAAGGGCTCTACTAACCTTACTCATAATGGCTCTGCCCTCAGGACAATTTCTAACCAAAGGCCCCACTTCCTAATACTGTCACCTTGGGCATTAGGTTTTCAACAAATTCAGTGAACCTAGGGACAGGGGAACTACAAACATTTAGACCATAGCACCATATATTTCCTAATTTTAAAAAAAATGTGTCATATATATTGAATAACCAGTTAAAACCATTTAATCATGACCCATTAGAGAAGCATTTGGTAAGAAAATGTGATAAATATAAATAAATAAACAAACAAACACACCACATACATACACAGTGGAATATTATTTGACCATAAAAAAGAATTAAAATTAACTCTTGCCATTTGCAACAACATGAATGGACCTTGAGAGCATTATACTAAAATGAGTCAGATAGAGAAAGACAAATACCATATAATTTCACTTATATATGGAATCTAAAAACAAAAAACAAAAAGCCAAGCTCACAGATAGAGAACAGATTGGTGGAGTTAGGGGGTGGGTGAAATAAGTGAAGGGAGTCAAAAGGTACAAACTTCCAGTTATGAAATAAATAAGTCATGGGGATGCCACATTCAGCATGGTGGCTATAGTCAATAATACTGTATAGCATGTCTGAAAGTTGCTAAGAGAGTAAATCATAAAAGTTCTCATCTCAAGAAAAAAAATCTTTAACAGTGTATGGTGACAGATGTTAACTAGATTTATTGTGGTTGGTAATCATTTCACAATATACACAAATATCAAATCATTATGTTGCAAAACTGAGACTAATATAATGTTATATGTCAATTTTAACTCAGAAAGGAAGGAAGGAAGGAAGGGGGCGGGGAGGGAGGGAGAAAGAGAGAGAGAGAAAGGGAGAGAAGGAAGGAAGGAAGGATGGAAAGGAGGGAAGGTGGGAAGCAGGGAGGGAAAAGGAAAAAGAAAGAAAGAAAAAAGAAAGATTTGGCGAGGAGGGGTTATTGGGAAAGATGAAACAGTCACATACAAATTTGGTAAGAAAATAACAGGACAACAAATGACCATCAGCCATCCTCACATCATGCTTAAAGAGCCACTGTGGTCCTGGTGGAATAAGTTCTGGGCTACAGGATCATTAGATCGTTGCTCTTAGATGTGCACTGGTCAAGCTTTTTCTAGAATACATATTCCAGTTTGGGTTTCATAACTCAAGAGGAGCCAACTGGAGGTTAGGGCTTGGCATTAAGTAGTGAATAATTAGTTAAGGGCCTGTGAGGAAAGGTTTCAGAAACAAATGTATTCCAGGAAAAAGAGATGACAAACGTGAAGACTTCTTACCAGGAAGATGATAACCAGATATTGCATCTCTTCACAAAAGAATGAGAAGGGAAGTCTGAATGTGAAATATGGCAGGTTGCACAGAAATAATTTCCTGACAGTGATGAATTAGTTCTAAATAGCTCCCCTGGGGCCCATTTGTGAGGCCCTTCAGAGAAATATAATTTACAAACAAGGGATATTTAATACATGTGGAATGGTTTTGGTTTACTCCTCCCCGAAGGCAGAGAAATTACCTAGATGATTTTTTTAACATCCTGTTTAGTCCCTGATCCTAAGATATACTGACTTAGCTCTACCACTAGACAGCAGGGACAGGTGAGAGGACTGGACATCTGGAGGGAAGCTCCGGGGCTGCGTATCTCACACATAAGGCTGTCTTTGACGTTGTTCACAGGCTTGGCTCCAGACCCTACAGTGAATGCTAAATAAAGTTGCAGCAGGAACATGTTCCCTTTTCTCCTTTCAAAATACAAAGAAACAAAAAAATCTCCTGGGTCCATTTCACAGCCTACCAGTTTCACCTAGACTTGACATTGTATTTTTTATAGGATCCCTGTCTATTATAATAACAGAATTAAAAGCACCTTGGTGTCTTCCTTTCTTTTTAATTTAAAGCCAATTAAATGCCCTGGGCACAACTTCCAAGCTAACCAACATTTTGGTAGCATCTTCTGAAAAGAGGAAAAGAACATTCCTGATGGCTGAGATGACCTGATTTAGACAACTCCTTTCCACACCACGAGCGTAGGAAGAGACGCATTCAGACACAGGCCTATCCTGAGACAGGAATACTTTCCAGATAAGCTTCTTCCCTCTTCTATGGTGTGATGTGCATGCACTTGGGATAGTCTACAGGAGGCATAAAAGCTTTGAATGGCCGAGTGGACCTGGCAAGGCTTCTGCCCTGTCAAACTTCGTTAAGACTAATATTCTCTTCTCCCACCCTAGACGTTGAACTTGCTTTTCTGTTCTTGTCTAGGGAGGATAACTGATGCTGTGCACTGCAGGAAAGGAACAGAAGGAGAAACGAACAAGGTGAGGACTTGAGTTACCCTAGTCACAAATCGCTACTCAGATGATTTCAGCCCATATTGACATCCTTGCTTCCTAATTTTTAAATACATTTATTATAGCCTGAAAAGCAATGAGGAAGACAGGTAGCTGCCGACCAATGTCCTTCCTTGCCTGCCTCCTCCCACCTGCATTCACTGCACCAGAGAAGCAGATCTTGGATATTCTAATGTATCATGGTCTGATTGCTAGGGAATTGGCCAGCCACTCTGGTTTCCTTCTTCTGTGTGCGCAGTGTAATTTTTTTCATTAAAAATGAGAGCACGACCCTTTTGGTATTACTGATAGAATTTCCAACATGATTCCCTGCTCTGACCTTTAAGAACTGCCATATGGTTCCCCTCTGTAGACACAGGAACAGCCTATTATCCTATCCATCCTGTCTCAATTTTTCCGGAACCCCCACCTAGAAATCTTTTTAGGACCCATCACCCTTTCACATTCTTCCCGCTAAGCCTAACCTCTTTTCTCTGACGTTCAGTTGTACTGTCCGTACTGAACGAACAGTACTTAATTGTTTTCCAAGTGCCTGATCTTGGTTTCCTTATCTAGAAAGCAATCTCTAAGATTCCTTTCCATACCAATAGGCAATAATATGCTAGTCTGTTCTGTTCTAGTCTGTTTCCTTGGGTGTTGTGTTTCCCAAGTCCACCACCCACTCCTCCTATGCATGCCATCCACAGGCCTCCACGGTCTCTTCCACCTTCGTGCCAGAATCCAGCACCTGCCTTCTCCAGGAGAGTTAGAACAATCACAGAATCATGTAGCAGAGGGGAGGTATTACAAAGCTACAGATCTAGTCTTCACTGTGCCTCGCAAAGTTCTCATTCATCTCTTATTCATATCTTCCCAATATTTTCACCAAGCCTTCTCTTTTCTCATTAGCCTAAGCCACCTAATCCCCTGTCTGCAAGTAGCACCACCTTCTACTTGACTCAGCAGCTATGCATGGCCTTGAAGATCAGTGGCAATTCAGAATGTCATATAAACATTGTGTTCCAGTTATTCAGTGCTACATAAATAACTCCCCTCCAACTTAAAAATGGTTTAAAATGGTAACATTTATTTTGCTTGTGAATCTGTCATGTGGGCAAGGCTTGGTAGAGCATCTTATCTCTGCTCCATTTAGTATCAAATATGATGGTTTAAAAGTTGGAGGACTGGGATTATCTGAAGGCTCACACAATCACATGTCTAGTGACTGATGCCAGCTGTTAGCTGATGCCTCAGATGGGGCGTTGGCCAACACACCTACAAATGGCCTCTCTGTGTGGCTTGGCTGGGTTCCCAGGGTGAGCACTGTGTGGCCTCCAGAGCCTGCATTCCTAAACCCTGCATCATGCTACCTTAAGAGAGGTTCCATGGTGTAATGGTTAGCACTCTGGACTCTGCATCATGCCACCTTGCAGCCTTGGCACTACATTGTTCCGAACTCAGTAGCAGACAAACTACAACATCCAAATGGGCATTAACCTGGCCTGTGTTGGTTACCTTTAGGAATAGGGAGCTCATTACCACATCAGGCAGCTTGTTCTGTATAGTTTTGGTGTTCCAGTGGTTGAGGAGTCCTTTCTTATCTGAAGCTGGAATCTTCTTTCCATCCTAACTTCTGTCCATTAACTCCTGGCTTACTCTTGGGACCACAGAGAAGAAGCCTGTTTCACACACCAGGCATTCCAGTAAGTGGAGGGAGCAAAGAGTCCTCCCTAAGTTCGTTTCTGTCCCTTCATCTCTAACCCCTGGGGCTCCTCAGATTCCCAGTGAGTCTCACTTGGATAAGCTCTAGGTTGTCAGCATTCCTCTTAAAACACAGAGCCCAGGAATGGGCACAATCCTCCCTTATTATTTTTTTTTGAGCCTTTAAAAATGTTTGTTAAGACTAAAAATCCTGTACAGGCTCCTTAGAGAGAATATAAAGAATACATAAAAATATAAAGAAAATAATAAAACACAATGCCTTTACCCGCAAACGGACATGATAAATATTTTGGGTTATTTCTCCCCAGTAATTTTTAAAAATGACATATTTATTTATTGAGGTATGATTAACCAACAATAGCATGTTAGTTCCAGGTGCACAACACAGTGATTCATTATTTTTATACATTACAAAATGATCACCCCAAGTCTAGTTAGCATCTGTCATGGTTCAAACTTATTACAATATTACTATGTTTTCCATGCTGTCCCAGTGACTCACGTGTTTTGTAACTGGAAGTTTGTCCCTCTTAATCTCCCTCATCAATTTCACTCATCCCTCCACCCACCTCCCACACACACACTTTGGCAACCACCTGTTTGTTCTCTATATCTATGAGTCTGTTTCTGTTTTGTTACGTTTGTTTATTTATTTTAATTTGAGATTCCACATATAAGTGAAATCATACAGTTTTGTCTTTCTCTGTCTGACTTATTTCACTTAGCATAATACCCTCTAGGTTCATTCATGTCATCACAAATGATGAGATTTTACTCTTCTTTATAGCTGAGTAATATTCCATTGTGTGTGTGTATACACACACACACACACACACACACATTTTCTTTATCCATTCATCTGTTGATGGACTCTTGTATTGCTTGCATATCTTGGCTATTATAAATAATGCTGCAGTGAACATAGGGGTGCATATAACTTTTCAAATTAGTGTTTTTGTTTTCTTCAAATAAATTCCCAGGAGTGGAATTGTTGAATTATATGAACTTCAATTTTTATTTTTTTGACAAACCTCCATATTGTTTTCCATAGTGGCTGCACAAATTTACATTCCCACCAACAGTGCACAAGGGTTCCCTTTTCTCCACATCCCTACCAACACTTGTTATTGCTTATTTGATGATAGCATTCTGACAGATGTGAGGTGACATCTCATTGTGGTTTTGATTTGCATTTCCCTGACGATTCTTGTTGTTGAACATCTTTTCATGTGTCTGCTGACCATTTGACTGTTTTCTTTGGAAAAATGTTCAAGTTCTATGCCCATTTTTCTTTTTTTTTTTCAATTTGAAGTATAGTCAGTTTACAATGTTGTGTCAATTTCTGGTGTACAGCATAATGTTTTAGTCATACATATACATATATAAATATTCCTTTTCATATTCTTTTTCATTATAGGTTACTGTAAGATATTGAATATCATTCCCTGTGCTATGTAGTAAAAACTTATTGCTTATCTATTTTATATATAATAGTTAGTATCTGCAAATCTAGAACCTCCAATTTATTTCTTCCCACCCCCTTTACCCACTGGTAACCACAAGTTTGTTTTCTATGTCTGTGAGTCTGTTTCTATTTTATAAGTAAGTTCATTTGTGTCTTTTTTTTTTTAGAGTCCACATATGAGTGACATCATATGGTATTTTTCTGTCTATTTCTGGCTTCACTTATAAATGACAATCTCCAGGTCCATCCATGTTGCTGCAAATGACATTGTCCCTTTTTTATAGCTGAGTAGTATTCCATTGTAAAAATATACCAAAACTTCTTTATTCAATCATCTGTTGATGGACATTTAGATTATTTCCATGTCTTGGCTATTGTATATAGTGCTGCTGTGAACATTGGGGTGCATGTATCTTTTTGAATTAGTGTTCCCTCCAGATATATGCCCAGGAGTGGGATTGCTGAATCCTATGGTAAGTCTGTTTTGACATTTAAGTCTCCCCAAATTCTTGAATTATTTCATTAGTATCCAAATGTACTGAATCACTGGACATAATACTATTAAATCTGAAATATGTTAATATATGCATATGAGTGTATAAGAGATTGACCTCAAGAGGGACTTGATTGAGATGATATGAGATCAAGATTTCTCTTCTGATATTGCCAGAAATAAAATGGTGTTCACACTATTGCCTCAACCACTTTTGCCAGGTGAGAAAAGAGAAGGGCTGCAATCTGGCATGTAGGAGTTAGATTTCTAATAGCCAGGCCTCCTGGAAACAGAAGATATCAAATAGAAGGCTCGGACCATCACAGTCTCTCTTTTTTGATGAGAATATTTTGTCTTTGTAGAATATGGTTAAGGACACCTTCAGGGCAGAGTCACACACTGGTGGTCCATGGCTGGGGACAGCCTGTAAATAGGATGGCCTCAAAGATATGGTTTGTTTGGCCCACATGGTGATTTTTTTTTAATTTTAGAAATTGTTGTCAGTATTTAAAAATAGGAAAGTTATACATGGAACTCTGGATTTCTGTCCATTCTTGAAGAACTGGAAACTCTGATAAAGCTTTACCCCAGTCCTGCTCAGCCACAGTGGAGAGAATCTGTGCGGCAGACGCCCCCTAAGACAGGGCGTACACTGTCCACTTCCTCCCTAACCCCACCACGCCTTCTTCACTCAGATATTTTACCTGCCTGATCTTAGTTAGTTTTGGGGCCATTGACCCCCATCTTAAGTCCTGGGAAGAGAAATCCTTTTAGATTTTGGTGCCAGTGACTTCCTGGCCCCACAAATACTGAGGTTATGATAACAGATAACACACCTGGACTGAGATGCACGACAGCCTCCCAGTTCCTGGAGGAAGGCTCTCTGGCTGCCTTCGAATGAAGGGCTAACAAAGGGCAAAACTTCGTCAAAGGAGGTAGGAATAGGGAGACCACAAAACGCAGTCCCAGTCTTGAGAAGAAAGTCATCTGGGGACTTGCTAGAGGCTCTCCTCCCCCTGTAAGCATTTTGTTTTTTGTAACTGGGGAGGAAGGAGAACAAACCCCGGTCTGTCAGTACACGGGTCTCTGCAGACTGTGGCCCTCCGGCCGGTGCTACAGGTGTGTGCAGCCACAAGTCCCACATCCTACTCCACCTGTCTACAAACCTACTTAGCCCGTGCGACTTTGACCATTGGAACACGTGCTGATAATAGTAATAGCAACAACAATGTCAAGTGCTGTCTCTGAGCTGAGCCCTTTCCAGACATTAGCCCAGGAATCCTCACAGCGACCCCGAGTCAGGTCCTC